AAACAATTGAGACATTTTTGTATTTGTGTGAAAGATAGCAAATGAAACCCCAAATTTATAGAAAACCTAGGTGAATATGGAACAACCATTTCTTGGCAAACTTGTTTTCGGAGCTATATCCACGGAACGACCCTATAATTATTGGTTCTGTATATGTATCTCTTGAACTTCCACTGAAACTGCATAATTAAGAACCTTCCCTAGATACATATCCGGAAGTTTCCCTGCTACATCTTTAAAGCAGAACTCAATATAGAAGGACATCATGATAGACAAATAAAAGACATATGTGCACAAATAAGGCATGAGAATAAAATGTGACTATTTTGCATTTAAAAAATTTACAATTAGTCGTCTGATTATACAAGAATTCAAAACGAATCAAAACAAGTGTCGCTGGCTAAATCTATTGGTGGTACCCCTTTGGACTTTTCCGCATTCGATTCCTTTTCAATGTTGTTCAATCTTTCTTATTCGTGCATCCTTTCAACAAAACGATCCGGCCACGTCTCAGCATTTGAGGTTGAAAGAGTCGCCTATTCCGGTGATGTAGGTGGTATGGGGCTTCCCGGTTTCAAGTAAACTTGTATAATATATCTTGATTTTGCAAGCCATCCAATACACATGATGCAATCATTTGGATTTTGAGGTGGTATGGTGCCGAGTGGAAAAAAGGTTTCCGAAAACCCATATCGCGTCAAGTCAATGCACACCCTATCACATGCACATGCAATAAGATGACCTATATCAGGAAAGGTCATCCATTTCGACACCGGTGCCAGACCATTCAAGTAAGGAATAGAAGATTCATAAACCGCATCAAATTTTTCTTTCTTTCCATACAACCGCGTATATGATTCTTTATACGTCTTCAACTCTTGGATTAGTTGATGACGGACAAACACATAACTACCCTCTCCTTTACCAAGCAAAGCCAAAACGGCTCGGTAACCGCAATTACCATCCCCTTCAACATTGACGATACGATCGATGTATTTGTGCATAAAAACCGGCATCTCATTGATGAACGGAATTTTCGGTGGAATCGGAGTCGGAGGCGGTTTGCTTATGCGGGATCTTTTCATGAAACTATTTTGAGATTTAGGAGTCGGTGAGTCGGGATAAAGTTTCTCAACGTGCTCACAATAAGAAGAACCGTGTAGTCGAGTTATCATTCGGTGTAGGCTTCATTTTCTTCTGAGCACCTTTTGTCTTTACTGGTTGAGAAGGCGGTTTCATGTCGGTTGTCTCGAAATAGGAAATCTTCCTCAATTGTTCTTTGATTTGGAGTTTCATGTTGTCATCGACCTTTGAGAATATCTCTTGTATCCCTTTCCATTCGGTTAAAATAGAGATATTCAGTTTACCTCCTTTCATGCAACCATCATCATCAAAACTAAGTCTTTTTCAATGAGGGCAAACTTTGTCCATTCTTATTGGCTCACCTAGTTTCAACTTTTTAGCAATAACACGAGCACACAGAAGACCATAGGTTTTCACAATAGTGCAACCACACTTTGCGCTATCGGAACCTACAGTTTCAGCTCGTTTGGCCTCGTGAAAAAGATAGTTCAACCCCGATCAAGACATATTACCAATCAATTGAGAATACAAAATGTTATCTTTAAATCGATGTTCCAATACCGTTATACTTCGACCAAATGTTGTTTGTATCTCATTATGTTAGTTTTTAATCATGAGATTTACGGAGTCCCAATCTCGACATAAATCCCCTTGCTATTTCTCAACCAATTTTTCAAACTAGCATGGGCCGACTCAATTCTGTTGGTGGTTGTATTTCCAAGGTGTCGGACATTATCAGTCCATGCACAAACTATTTTCTCCTTCACTTGATCAAGAATTGTGCTTTCAACATATTTCAACAAAGCAGGATACTTTTTACACACTTTCTGGAATTGAATGACGGAATCGGCATATAATTCTTTTGTGGAAGAATTTAGTATACGATTTCATGCATCCATTATTTTTTCAACAATCACACCGACCTTCACCAATTTTCCACTTTCGAACCCTACTTGTTTCGCCCTCACCGCAGGTCTAACCCGACTTCTCACATTCTTTTTTATGTGATATCAACAAAGTAATGCATTAGAAGAAGGAAATACCTTTGTAACCGCATATATCAACGTGGTATCGCGGTCGGTAACAATTGCTTTAGGCATCTCAACTTGGTCCTTCAAAAGTGACCGACACACCTCTAATGCCCATGTAAAATTGTCCTCTTTTTCACACTCGAGAAAAGCAAAACCAACGACATATGTCGTCTCGGTAGATGTAACACCAACCATCTCAAATAAAGGAAGTCTATACTTGTTGGTCTTGTAGGTAGAATCAAGAATGAACACTGTCGAAAATGTGTTGAACAACTTTATCGAATCTGGTTGAGTCCAAAAAATATCTCGGACCGTAACTACATTATTGCAAGTTATGTACTGGGACACGTAATTGTTATCATCCAACTATTTCAACAGTTATTGCGTCTCACTTCTATCTCCCCTAATCGCCTTGTTGATGCGGTGCTGAATATTATACACTTGCCTTATATTTGATATATTGTCGGGTTCCTTCTGTTTCAATGTGGCAAGTATATTTTTTGGTTGGACAAGATTCAAGGTCATGTCAGTAATACATGTCTTCTCTTCCGGCTTGAGCCGACATACACTAAGATGACCTTGTAACTTTGAGCATAAATCATGGTTATGCAAACCACAAATAACACTAAATTTCTACTTTTTGTTACTCAACATGTAACCACGAAGCTTAAACGGACACTTGCATTTTCTACTACCCGTGTCTTCTCTCTTAAATTTTCTGAGAGGAATTTGATATTTACCGCTTCTTTCGCACAAGAAAGTAACAAAAGCGTTTCTTCTTTCCGAATCATTATCCGATCTTCCTATAACCACACCAAAACCAAATCTTGTTGCAGTCCTACGAATCCATGTGAGCATGCTTTCACGATCATCAAACTCTTGCTTGTTATCGGGGTGCACCATATCTATTTGTAAACAATAAGGAAAATAAGTAAAAATTACAAAGCTGCTGAAAAAAACAGACAGAGACGTTTCGGAGATCTACATCTGGAAGTGTTCATCTTCAACACGTTCTGGAGGTACAACTCCGGAAGCAACGCCCATTTTTTCCAAAAGATCGATGATTAATGTGAGCAATATAGTGGACAAAAGGAGATTTTTACTTGAAATTCTATCTTCACTGACTTCCTATGATTTGTTGCATGAAAAAGTTGGAGTTTTGGAGTGAAAATGATATTGATAGTATAAGGTTTTTTAGGTTGGTGAAATGAGTATGGAAGAAGAAAAGACAACAATGGGGGAGTGATCATGCAGATTTAAATATAACAGAAACTTCCGGAGTTGTATCTACGGAACAATCTGGCGCTCAGACGTTTCGAAGTTACAGCTCCGAAAAATTTGCTGCACTGATTTATTTTGAAGTTTCTTCGGTGTATACTAGTAGATTATACTTCCGTAGATGTAGTTCCGAAAACAACCAAATTTTAACAAAAAAAAAAAGATGCATCTGAATGTGTATTTCCAAAAACAGAAAACATAGATGGCTAAAAAGACCAAAAGGTTAGATAAAAAATCCTCATTGAATAATTGAATTTTTTGAAACAACGGCCCACAATATTATGATTATATAACTATTTTTTTAAGACTTGTGTAATGTTTTTTTGGTTGGATTTATTTTGTTTTGTAAATTTATCTTGTAAATATAAGTAAGAGTCTCATACTAAAAATGAAGATATACAACTCATATTTAATATAATCCATTTTTATTTTGTTTCAATAAACTAATGATAATGGCCAATGGTATGAACATACAGTTACTTATACCTAACCCATCCATTTGATGTGGCTGCACTACTTTTTTGCAATTGGTTAGGAAAACAACTTTTTAAACAAAATTATACAAGTGAAGGTAGCTGTATTCATTAACCTCATCAATGGATCATTAATCCGCACCCCATTATAAATCAATCACTATAACCTGTCCTTTTCTATAGTTAAAAGCAATATTAGTAGAAAATATTTTTTGATTTTTAACACATTACTACAACAACAAAAAACATACAAAAAAAAAACAGCTATTAACCACTTCCATCTTTTCCGGCATTGATTCCTCATTTTCGTCCCATAATATTGTTATGGTCAAAACAATCAACAAACATTGCATTCAAACCCAACACACACACACGTGTGAAAACACTTGATTACAACATAGACTCAATAACCACACAAGACATGAAATCACTTTTACCTCCCAATAATATAAAAATTATTATACCTCTAATGATTTTGGCACTTGGAAATGGAATTACAAAAAAGATATATAATTTTTTTAACAATGAAAACAGCTTTTCTTTTAAAAAAGAAAACACAATGTCCCCATGTAATCATCAAAATTTGGCCACTTTCATGCAAGAATGACATAGTTATTTTTCCTTTTTGAATAATGAATAGAACATTTAGTTGCCTTTGGAAATAAAGCTTAAAAAAGAAAGGTTTATGCAATGATAGTGTTATGAGAAGATTAAGAAACATGATGATTTGGTCAAAACTAAAAACCTTAAAGGCCATGTCTTTTATATGCATTATTAAGAAAAACAATGAGTTGGTTTTTGTACTTAACAAAATAAAAATAAAACCAAAGTAAAGTTTGCAACTTCAAAAAGAAAATTCAAAGGGCCACTTTCATTTTGTCAAACATCATTTCATATAGAATTTAATCATTAGTGTTACCTTTAACTAATTCTTTCCCTCCAATATGCATATTCTCATTCATTCCATTGATTGATTCCAACAATATATAGCCAAAAAGCTATGCTTGTGTTACATAAAGAAAATAAAATAATAAAAGTGGCCCCTAAGGTCTTAACATTCATTCATTCATTAATTAATCCTCCTAATATATGTTTTTTCATAACATAATTTTTTTTTCCATTTTTACCCTTTTTTCTAAGCATCATTCCATGCAGCAAAAACAGGAAAATGTGACAAATTGATAGAAGATGTTGGTCTCATTTGAGTTGTTACTTGGGAAGGAAACCAAGAACTACTAACACCAATGTTAGAACCAATCTTTGATTCCATTGAAGGCTTTGGAAAGAGTTGAGAAGGAGCAGTTTTATCAGGACTAGCTTCTCTAGAAGAGCTTAAACTTGTCACCAATGAAGACGGGTTCGAAAAATGAGTACCGATCTTTGTTGAATCGTCCAAACCAACCGACTCGATGCCAACGAGGTCTTGTAACGACATCGAAAAATCAGAATTCTTGAAATTTCCAGCAGAGTTTTTTTGGTCACAACTGTTTGACACCATCTTCCATTTTGAATCATTACTTTCGTTGCTGTTTCGCGCTTGAGCAGGTTCTCCGTTGTTGTTCTGGCTCGTTACGTTTGTGTCGTTATATTCGTGAACCTCGGTTCTAGGAACATTCTGTTTGATTCTTCTTGCATGCTCACCAGACAGAAGAGTATTGCTGGCCATGATTTTTTCGACATCGTATTTAGATATGTCGAAATTCGTTACCGCGTTCGCGCCACGGAATTTTATTGCTGCTACATCATATGCTTCTGCTGCTTCCTCTTGAGTGCCTGAAAATTTCATTTCCAAGATAAAAGCAAAAACAAAATAAACATTACAAAATTTTGAACTTTCCTCAAACCATTGTATTCAAAATATAGCCTTTATCTAAAAAGAACAGCCTTAGAAAAAAGTGGAATTTTGTGATCAAAGTGGCAACATGTTCAGCCTTAAAAAAGCACTTCCAGAATCACTAGTGCTTTGGAAAAGAAACTTTGAAGCATAAATTACATAAAAATATTATATTCTTATGCATGAAATTTAACTATTGTAACATTGATTGGTTTTAGTAACAATGTTTGAGGAATCTACTTACTGAATGTTCCAAGATAAAGGTCTTTGTTACCAGCAACTCTTCCAATCCTTGCTTGCCACCTACCATGTTGGTGGTGCCTGCAAAACACAAAAAAAAGTGATTATTTTAGTTCAAATTTCAAAATAAACAGTGCTACTAATTTGAATGAAAAAAGAGTGAAGGAACTGAATAAAACCTTGTCACTCCTCTGTACATTGAAGCACCCCTGGAAAATCCACTGCTTTTTCTGCAAAAGTTAATGAATACTAAATCATCATAATTATCATATAATTTCAGTAACTTTTTATCATAATAATTGGTGATTAACAGATTTATGTACCTTCTCAAATGAGCCACATATTCTTGCCTAGTCATGTTCTTCATTTCTTCAAGCTGAGTTTGATAATTTTCTAGCTGCAAAATAATGGTAAAAAAAGTGATTTTAGACACATAATAATACACATTAAAAGTAACAAGAAAATGCTAATATAGTGAAATGAAATGTACTGGGAAGTTTATATGAGTTGAAGGCCCCCAATATTTAAGTGCTGCTTGATCATAAGCTCTTGCAGCTTTCTCTTCCATATCATAACCTCCTATTAAGTTCAAAAAAGTGATTATTTTGATAGTGTTACTATTTATTTACTTTTACTTGGTCAAAGAGGATGAGAAAACTTACCCAAATAAACTGCAACATGCATGCAAAGTTTGGTGAAATCATCATCCAAAGCATGAGAGTAAAAAAATGAGTTAGTAAAAATATTTAGCAGTTAAAAATAGTTATGAATAAAATTGGACTATTGTTAATGGTTTTATGGTCATTAACCTTGTCTTCCTTTTCTTGTTTGACCTTCTTTCTTGCAACTGTTATCCCATAAATGTGCTTCATATCTACCAGTCCATCTATGCCTAATATAGAGAACAATAAATAAACATCAAAAGCATAGTTAAAAATCACTGTTTCTATCAAACTTTGAGAGAGTGAAAAGAGGGGTGAATGAAGCTATGAAGTTTTACCTTGTGACACCTCTATACTGTGAAGTTCTCTGTCCAAAAGTGTCAATGGATTTTCTATGAACAGGTTGCTTCTGTCCAAGCTTAGCAGCACCTCTTTTTTTAGCTTCCATGGTGACTGATTCAGTGCCAGAAGGTGAGATCTGTGTAGGAGCAGTAACACAGCTGGATTGAGAACCGGGACTCATTGATAGGCTTAGAGACTGTAACTCACCACACCCACCAACACCAACACCAGCGTTGTTGTTTCCCATGTTTGTGCTCATTTGTTGCTCAAGAGTCTGAGAAACATGAGAAACAGAAGAATAGTCTCTTTGAGAGAACCAGTTTTGAGGAATTTGGGAGGTGCAAACATCAACATGGTTTGTTGTTGCTGTTGTTGTTGTTTCCTTTGATTCTACCTCTAATGGTGTTTGGAACATTCCATGGAAACCAAGTGCTGCATAATATGGATGTTGTGATGTCATGTGGGTTTGTTGTTGTTGATGAGGATCTGCATTTTGTTGGTTATTGTAGTAGATACTGTCTAAGCTTAAAGCCATTGCTGCATCTCTTTCATGGCTACCGTATTCATCATGAGTCCCCATTGTTGCACCACCGAGAAAGTCCTCTAGTTTAGGAGATGAAGATGACACCATCACTATACAACAACATAATCATTAAAAAACCATAAAAAAAAAAAAAACTTAATGATTAAAGAACATATATGAAAAATCGAACCTTGTGATTGTGATCTACCGAGAGCTTCCATGATACAAAGAGAGCCATCAGATTTAAGAGGCATAACAGACAAAGATGAATGAAAGTTATGATTTTCAGGAACACCATAGCAGATAGGTGAGTTGTTGAAATGAGAAGGTGATAAATAAAAAGCAGTGGGAAGAGTGTTGGAAACTGAAGAAGTTTGGGTTTGTTGGTAATGATGATGATGATGGGGAGAGAGTGAGAAACCCAACCAGTTATGATTATTGTTTCTGTCATCAGAGTTGTTAGTGTCATTCATGGACTTCATCTTAAAAAAGGTTAGAACTTTGCTTGTTGTACCAAACAAGAGAATCTAATGATCTTGAAGGTAGGTTGAAAACTGAATGATTGTTTTCATGTATGTGCATGAAGTGAAAGGGTTGTGAAGAGGTTAGTTTATAAGAAAAACAAGTGGTGTCTTTAAAGAAAACAAAAAGAATGAAAAAACGGGAAGCAAAGGGAGTAACAATGTTGGGTGGGGAGCACCCACTTCATTCCATAGGGATCTGTGTTATGAGAAAAAGACCACGTCGTTTTTGAGTCTCTCTCTTGTTTTTTGTTTTTCTTGTTTAATTTAAGAAACATGTATACTAGTTAAGGATTATGTTTGTTAAAGAAATGTTAAACATATAGATGAATAAAAAATGATGAGAGAGAATGGAAATGGTAGATAAACTATTTTGGTCAGAAAAGAGAGCTATATATCTGTGTCTATGTTGTTTGGAAATGACTGTGGTGATGAAGTATGTATAGCTGAATCTTGTGAGTATCACATAGATAGATACAACAAGTAAACGACATACTTCCATGTTTTAAAGTACTACCAAATAAAATGATAAAACAAACTACTATTTTGACTCCAATGCAATACATATATTTTGGTCTCAATTCTTAATATCCAAGATTAAAAATAAATTATATTAATTTTTTTAATTAATTATAAAAAAAAATTAAAAAATCAGTCCTTAAATTCATCATTAATTAGATCAAAATAAAAAATATGGATTTTTTTAAGTGAATGAAATAAAATAAATTCGAGATTAAGATACACAACAAAAAAATATTAAATTTTTGGAAATATGGTTGATACATTGACGGTATATATTTCTTTTACATTGTCAACCAATAACAATCATTCATCCTACTAAGTTATATTAAATTTTTTAACTAATTATATAATATGACAAAATAAAATAACCATTAAAAACTCATAAAAATGATACATATAAATCTGATTATTATAGTTTGAATTATGATTTTAGATAGGTAAGTGTATAAATATATTTTTAATGATATTTTATTAATTTTATAGATTATATTAATAAAAAATTAAGAATTAAATTGATCATTTAATAGTTTTGCAGATCAAAATGATTATTTCATTTGTGTTAAATTATAAATCAATTTATTAGTTTCACATAAAAAAATTAAAGTAAATATATCTAATATAAAATAGGAAATTCTATATAAATATTATTTTATTAATTATATATAAAATATAAATAAAATAATTAGAAAAATAGATTAATTAAAAGTGAATATCATGATAAATAAATATTATTATTTCATTAATATTTTAAAACTTTAAGTGTTAAATTGATTATTTAATAATTCTGAATAAAATTAATAGGATATGTGAGTTAACTTGCTCAGTGTTTAGGGTTCAACTCTAGTGGTAATATTTATTTTATCATAAATAAATTATTGAAATCAATAATCTTTATAAAAATTAATTTAAAAAATGATATTTGTACATAAAGATATGATTCAGTTTAATTTTGAATTTTAACTAAAGAGTTTAATATGATTTGAATCAATTATATGCAATTTAATTTGTATCAATTTTGAATATTTAAATTATAAATGTTATTTTTTTTATTAGTATTAATATTATAACAATAATAGATTAATATTTGAAACAAATGGAAAGTAAAAGAATAGATTAAACTAATTTTATGAATAGTACTAAAATAAATCAAATGCCAACTAATAATAAATCTATGAAATATAATATAGTAGTAAAATGTTGGAAAAAATTATAAATATGAATAATGTGGATAATAGTCTCATTTAAAATGTTTTTCGTTTGACTCTTCAATTATTACGCCAATATAAAAATAAATAAATTTTAAATTATATTTATATGCGGGTCACATTGATTTTGAAAATCAATTTCAAATCCAATTCAATAATGTAATATTCAATTACATCCATCAATATTTTTTTGTCATTTTTAATGTTTTTTTTATATTATTTTATGATTTTTATTTAAATCAGTTTAAATTTAAACAATTTTTTTTTTAAAATACATGAAATTTATTTCAACAGATAATATTCATATTTTTAGATGGGTAATTTTCATCTAAAAAGATCCTAAAACTTCACAATTATGTGTGTAAAATTTATATGATATTTATCACTTTTGCTATGGACATTTCATCTTAAATTTTAGAATCTATTAAATTAGTTAAAGTTTAATTTAGTCACAATTAAACTATGAGAAAATAAAAATTCTATTAGCTTTATCACATTTAAATATTAAAATGTCAATATCTCACTATTTAAATATAATAGTCAGTTTTCCTCAAAAAGAAGATGGTCATTCTTCTAAACAAAAGGAAATTATATATATTTTTTCAATTAAATCTATTCCTATCAAAGCACGTTATGAATTTGGTTAGTTGACAAAATATTGATATTATTAAGTTATATTTTTTTTAAGTACGAATTCAAATGTAATACGATTTTTTAGTAATTATTATTATCAGAGTTTTTTTAATCTAAAAAACTTAGATAACATGAATAAAATAAATAGGAATAAATCTAAGCAAGTGTTTTATGACATTGTTTCGAACATTAAAAGAGAAAATTTTTGGTAAAATTTATTATTTTAATAAATATCATATTTATATTTCCGAGAAATATAATAATCATTTTGTTTTTCATTATAAAACTTTTTTTCTTTTTTAATATAAGAACTTTATAAAATTCAATAAGTACTAGTGATTTTTCTTAAACATACATATATTTTTATTTTCTTATAAACTCAATAATTATTATAATAGTTTGAAAAATTGATCATAAACAGTAACATTTTTCTTAATGTCTGTAATTTTGATTAAATGATGTTATAATAAATGAGGAGCAGGGCCTAACATAGTCAACAAAGTAAAAAATAGTACTAAGAGTAAATTATTATTTTTAACTAAAGTAGGCTCGTGAGTTAGTGATTTGATTTAAGGATAATAAGAACAAAACAAAAAACAGGGCAATGTTTTATTTATGTGTTTTGTTAATGACAACAGTACAACTTACCTATCCACCTTAGATTTGACGGGAAGGACATATCTGCCCATGCGGTCATCTCATACAGTACAACAATTATGCACCACTCTTTTTTCTCTTTCTAGTACTCTATTTTCAATTTCATTTTTTTTTTCAATCACTCAACTTAATAAATTGACATGTCCGTCCGTTTAGACTCGTTTTATAAAAATCTTGAAAAAAAAGAGATAAGACGGAGTGACATTATATAGAATGCGGATAAAATTATTTGATGTCAGAATTGATCTGTAACCGAATTAGTCAGTTTAATGGACTATCGGTGAGATATTTTAATTTTAGGATAATAGAATTGCAGGTTAAATGAATGGGAAACAACCCATCGTCCACTGTTTATGTGGACAAAGAGAGGTTTATTTCATGGGTCATCCAATCTGATCTTGTGCTGACTATGTGACCCAATCTTAATTTTTCTAGCAAAGTGAGTGAATGTCAAAATTCCAACCAAGTGAATAAGACAATAACCATGCAATGTGTACTATAAGGAAAACATTTAAACTTTTTTACCTACTTAATGGAAATGTTTGACTTTTCATCATTTTTTTCTGCCATGTTTTTAATTAAATTTATTTATTATGAAAGGGAGACATTTTTTTAACATGCATGTATCTCTAATATAATGCAATAATAATGTTATTATTTAGATTATATATTGAGGAGGCAATCGCCCCATTTAAATTTATCTTGTAAAAATCTATAAAAAAAAGTATTTAAATATGTGTGACACCTTTAAAATTTAATTTGATATCCACAAAATTATGCTTTTATTATGGTATCTTTTATCTAAAAAAAATAAAAAATAAATAAATAAATTTATTTTTCATTTGTTATTGTTCGGACGTTTTACAAAAATTGTGCAATTTAACGTATTTTTTAATTTTCTATTGAATTTTTAAAAGTGAGTTTCGTTAAAACTTTTTTTTATCGGTAATTTAAGATTTATACTGCATTTTTATGAAAATCATTATTTACATTTAATTATATCAGAATTTTTGAAAAATCTGATAAATAACATGCACTTTTACTAGAATTTTTGAAATGTCTAGTTAAAATGCATACATGCATACCAGATATTTCAAAATCTTCGGTAAAAGAGATTGTCGATAATCGGTTTTTCAAAAATTCTAGTAAAACCATGTTTATTTTTGAATTTAAAAAAAATCAGTAGTTTATATTTCTTTTTTATTTATTGTAGTGAGGATTAAAGGAAGACATGTCACGATTGCTTCTAAAGGGATTGGCTGAGCAGTGAGAAAGTAGTTATAGATAGCTCTCGTGCAGGGGCAGATGACTGGGAGAATTTTCATATTTTAGAGGATAGAGTAGTCCCCATCAATCTTCATATGAGAAGGATTGAGCAGCCACACACACCCCGTACTCTCTAGTGTAGAGGAGGTAAAGCTGGATGTGACAGTAATCTTGATGCAAAGCCTGATGTTGTTATTGTTAACGATGTAGAAACATCAACTCAGTAGAATATGCAAACTCAGGTTGTGGATCTGGTTGACACTGAGGCGGAGGCACATACAGACATAGTCGCGTGAATTGAAAAAATGGAATCGGAACATGACAGCTGGTGGATAACGATCGAGAAATTTGAGCGAGGTTGGTTCTTGTAATTTTTGTAGAATATGAAATCAGATTTTACCTTCCATAAAAAGGTTTTCTCTATATTTTTCTTTCATTTAGCAAAAAAAAAAAGGGAGACAGTTGCCTCTAATTGCCGTGAAAATTATTGCAGATGAGGAATTAGGGCAGTTTTTGGATAAGTGTCGCAACTCATGTGTCGTAAATTTCTTTTTTCTTGTAGTGTCATACTGACATGGAGGTGATAACTCAACCTGATATGGAATGTTTCTACACACAGGTTAGGGCTTCCCTAGAGCGTCTAGTGACCATGCTTTGCTCACTCTATATGTCGATCAT